ATATATATATATATATGTAATGTGTGTACGTATATATGTACGCCTAAACACACATATATACGATATATATACGATATATAAATGCACGTACGTGTATTACACGTACAAGTGCCAGTGCGAGTCCACACCCATATCTGATCTGTATATACGAGCACCCCTTCTCCTCCACCCTTCACCCTTCCTCACAGCGTCTCTCTCGTGGAAATCAACCATCGCCGTCACACCCATGGGAGTTTCACGGCGCGCTTGGTGTATGTGACGCGAGGGGCAATGCTCCATCGTGCAACGTGGAAATTTAGTTCCCTTCGTGTACACACACGCACAGAGGAGGGGTGTGCGTGTGTGCGGATGGTAGCCTACGGCTGTGTGGGGTGCTTTACGACCCGATCGTAGCGTTAATGGCACCGCTGTCTGAGTGTGTAGGTGGCGGTGCACACGGGAAATGTGCTCGTGCCCGTCGGAGTACGCTTTCCACGTATACCATCCACCGTACTAGGCCAGCCAACTATATTTCGCGCGACCGAGCAGATTTCACTAATACGAGGAGGGGCTGCGGGCCCGCGTGAAATACGTACGCGCACCTCACGATACACACGTGGACGATCGACAGAGGGGAGGTTGCGCGTGCAACCCCCGTCGCCTCCATCCCCCTTCCGGACACTTTCTTTTTATCGTTCTCTGTTACGTTCGTTTAATTCACGCTTTTGCTGGCCACGCCGTCGCTGCTGTCGTCGTCGAATCGAGCGTGAACCAGAGAACGCGTGCAAACCGCTCGATCCGACAGACATTGTCCAGCCGGCTCGGATTCATTCCGCGAAAGGATTCACCGGGGCAACTTGGTTGGAAGAATTTTAGGATTTCAGATATGTCGTGCTCGTTTCTTTTTCATGTTTTCAATGTTACGAGAGAATGTTGCTGTTTCCACAGGCTTCTGTTTGCTTGATGGTCTAGAATTTTTGCACGATCCTGTTGATTAGTTGCTTTCAACGTTCCTCTATTTCAGACAAAATGGCCGACGGTGCGAGTTTTTAGTAAAAACATCGAGATTGGAATATCGTTAGTAGCATTTAGGTTTTTAACGATTTAATATCAACTTTGAAAGAAAGATACAACATCTTTACAATGATAATACAATGTTGAAACATCGCTCGTTCTTACAATTTTTGCAAGCGCGTACAAAACTGAAACTTTGTTTTAAATCCATTAAGATCATAATACTTGGATTTCTTGAATTTGCATAGAATCGTGGTCGGATGAGTTAATGATAAAAATCCTTTGAAATCTTCTCCTCGTAGCGGCAGCATTAAAAAAATACAATTCGATAATTCAGATCAAAAAGAATTGCGAATGAAACGTCGGATCGATGCAATATTAGCCTTTAATGGGTTAATCGCAACAAGAGAACGATCTTACCCTCTCTGCAGCCGACAAACCGTATTACCTTAACCACAGTTCCATATCACCAGGCGGAACGATCCTCCCCGTCAATCTGTGCGTCGCCGCAAATCGACGAACAAGTAAATTCCAACGCGTCGTCGTTTGATTCCAGTTTCATCCCGCCTCCACGAGGGGTGACATCCCTTCAAAGACACGTCTTGCCGCCACTTCTAACAGAAAGAAGATGAAGAAGAAAAAAAAAGGAAGCGTCAAAAGGGAGAAGTCACGAAATTGACAATTGAGAAAAAAAAAAAAAAAGGAAAAATTCGCAACGATACAGAATTGAGGGAGGGATTAAATTTATTCGCAAATATATTCGTTCGCTTGTCTTTGGAGTTTCATCGAGTGCGTTCGACTCGATTTCCCATTAATTAACCGTCGTTCCTCCATCGTTCCAAGCGTTTGCGTTAGGGCGTAACGCGCGTGTTTACTCGGCGAGGCTTGTAGCGCGGTGCCGAGCGTTTAACGTGCCGAATGAAAGCTCGAGCACGCACCTTGTCTGATATTTCGCGGCGAGGGAGAGAATATTTCCCGATTCATCACCAGGCCACTCGGTGGTGCTCGAGTGCTCGCGCCCGCGGTATCGTTGTTAATTCTTCCGCGTCTATTACAGCCGCCACGCGTTGATATAATCGTTCTCGCGATTCCGCCAACGGGACCGAGAGATCTGCTCCAGTTTTCCCTCCCTTTATTATCCAGAAACGAGAATCGGCCGCGCGCACGTGTGTCCCTCGTTCTTTCTGTCAATCTGTCTCTCTCTTCTCTTCGCGCTGGATGTTACTTGTTTCGCGTTTTTGTGG